CTTTCTTAGATGTCTAATTTTCATTTTGGATCTTGCAGATAATTGCCCAGCTTCTTTCTGAACGACTAATTCCATTTGTTGCACTTGATGTGAGGAGGTATAAATTTACTCATGTCTGATATGAAACCAAATTGCCTCGGTATAAATGATTATATCCATACCCTCCACAAACCATTTTGAGTTGTCTGTATTAACGTCCTTGGCAACCATGGTCTGTTGTGGTTGCCAAGGATCGAATTGTTTTGGACCTTCAGTAGATTTAACAATGAACCAAGTAGCGAAAAAATATTAAATTTAATTGGGAATAAGGCTTAGTTTTTGTTTGCTAAACTTGCATTTCATTAGGCAAAGAGAGGTTGTGCCAGAAATTCTCCTTGGAACTGATAAAAGTTCTTTAATGAAAAATTATTTAAGGTATTTGGTATTGAAATGGGAGATTGCTATTAGCCATAAGCATTTCAATGGTGCAACCATGCTATAACCAACTCCGAATCAAAGTTTAAAAGTAAAGGAATTGCAAACAGATTGCGATACATTATTCACTATTGATATAATTATTTAATAGTGTGTGATAAATTTTATGCCATGTTGCTTTAATGTTAAACACCAGATCAGTCTAGTGTCATACTATCATCACATTTCGATTCTATGACTTAAGAACAGATCAAGATTTGTTCCCTAAAGTACCCAGCTATATGATGCGACATAAATACAACTCCAAGAAAAAGATCTAAATATTGTTTCCAAAAATGCACGTCTCAACCATTAGCAGGCTTCTCCTTTGTGGCATTTAGATACTTATCTCTAAATTTGATTTCCTGCAGTGATCGAGTTGCAATTGGCCGTGCACTTGACCTTCCTGTTTATTTTGGCGATGCTGGTAGTCGAGAGGTAATTACGACATTGAAACTTCGATTATGGTTCATTGAGATTCATTAAATGATATACTTAATTACTCTGTTTGTTAGGTCCTCCATAAAATAGGGGCTGAACGAGCATGTGCTGCAGCAATAACTTTAGACTCCCCTGGTGCAAACTACAGAACTGTATGGGCTCTGAGCAAGTATTTTCCCAATGTGAAAACATTTGTTCGTGCTCATGATGTTGATCATGGCCTTAATTTAGAAAAGGCTGGTGCATCGGCGGTAAATACTGTCGTCTTTTTCTTATTAATTATCCATTCGTTGTAGACTAGTAGCACTTTCTCTGAAGATTCAAATTTTGTGAAGCGAGATTATTATTTTTGTAAATTTTACACTTGTTAAGAAGTTAATTATTATCGTGTCTAAATAAAAACATGCAACAGGTTGTTCCAGAGACCTTGGAACCAAGTTTGCAGTTAGCAGCTGCTGTGCTTGCACAAGTAAGTAGAATAACCGTGACAGAGTTGTATTGCCTTCATCATCTGAATGGATAGTCAGTATTTCATCGTTTTAACTCATTAGTTAAACATGTGATGAGAGAACATGATTACCAGATAGGTGAAGTTAATGCCCTGTTTGGTGGCCTTATTTTAATTTATTTCTCATACTCATTTTCAACCACACATTCACACAATAAAATATTCTACAAGTAATTTTTCCCAATTTTTTAACCACTCATTCTCCAAAAAATACTATTCAGAACGTAGTTTTTTCAAATTAAAGCGAGCTAAAATTAGAAATTATTTTATAATTTTATTGATTAAAATGGATTTGTTTTTTCCAGCATCTGATTGAACCATCTGATTATTAAGAAATATAAATTCCAAATTGTTTTTGGTCTTGAATGAAGAATTCAATGAGTACCTCTTTTGGTCCACAATCATCATATCCTGGCATGTTGTCACTTCTTTTTTGTATCTGAATGCAAATTTGCATATAGTGAATAAAGTCTTCATTTTCACGATGCCATGTGTGTATAGTAAAAGGTGGATAAGTCCGATCACATGGGAAATCCAGCTGCAAGTGTCTATTGACATAGGCATAACTAGGTTCTATAACAACATATTTACGTATTTTTCTTTCCATTTTCTTCACACTTCCTGGTTATATTTTTCTAACCGGCTGCATTATACCAATCCTCTTCCAACTTACTGATAAAGGCGTAACAACGCCTGTATTATAATATCAAACCATTATCATCATACGTTGATTTTACTCTCTTTTTTTTTTTTTTCTTTTTTTTTTTTCAATGTCCCCTCGTCTATTCTAATTATATAATATATTTCGCATTTTTAGGCTAAACTACCGACATCAGAGATAGCTGCAACTATTAACGAGTTTAGATCTCGCCATCTCTCAGAGCTTACAGAGGTACGCAAATTTTAAGCCCCACAGCTTAGTTTTATATCACAGCTTGTTTGATAAGTTAAACAGTTGTGTCTTATTTGCTAAAAATATTAAATGCATGTTTGGTACACATAAGAGTATAATATAAATAAGAAAAAGAATCTAAAATCTTGCTCATAGTAGTAATGAGTCTTGCTTACCAAACATGTCGTGATGTTATGAAGAGTAATAACATGATTATTCTCACCGTGCAGCTCTGTGAAGCAAGTGGAAGCTCTCTTGGTTATGGATTTTCTCGAATAATGAGTAGACCCAAGTCCCAGCCTCCCGAGTCCCCAGACGAGAACCAAGTTAGTGAAGGAACACTTGCAATTTAACTCATCACTGGTTATCGTAAAAAGGAAAAAAAAGGGGTTTTAGTTACCCCAAAAGAAAGCAAAAGATGAAAAACAAGAGAACGTGATGAAGAATGTGTACTTCGTTTACTACGTTGGGAAAAGAAAAATTGTACAGGAATGTAGCAGCCAGTTGCTAGACCAATTATGCACTTTTTTTGTTGGCTAAATTTTAGACATTTTTGCTGCATGTCTAGAAAGGACTTCTTTGCAATATTTACACGCACAGGGGTTGGACATGCTTGAAGATTGTAATGAATTTTGGCTTTTTGAGAATTGAGGATACTGTACTTTTGCAACTTGAATGTGTCCAGAAATTAACTATTACCAGACCAATACAATTCATACAATCTCTCTTGAACAATGGACAAGAACCTTTGTGAGAATTTTCGTCGCAAGGTGACTAAAATGGTCGACAAATGCCAAAATGTTTGATTGCTCTGTGAATAGAATTTATTTTTTTATTTTTTAACTAACGATCACTATAATTACTTAATACAACTTATTTTTAACTCTCTCTGTGATTACGTATCAACACAACTTCAGTTAGGGAATTTGCAGAGGAGGCTTCAAACTGTATAAAAAAGTGCAGCACGATTTCAAAAATGTGCAATATAATGATAGTTTCCATCAAAAACGTTGGTTGATCAAAAGACAAGCATTTGATTTTGATCATAATTGGACCAATTTTAGAAACAATGTCGAAATGATCTTTCAATAGTTAATTAATTCAAAGAAAGGAAATTAACAGAATACGTTTTAAATATTTCAAAATGTACGGTGTAGTCTCAAATTTATAAATGGATGTGAAAGAATTTTTAATGATTTCATCAAAAAAAAGACCAAAAATCAAACATCTAGTCCAGACTCCAATTTTAAGTTACATCAAATTTTTATTTTTATTTTTTGTACTACATTTTAATTGTACTTAAGATTCTTAATCTTTGTTCATTATATCACTTATATTCCTAACAATTTTTAATGTCATTCTTATATTCAAACTTTTAATTAGTTAACACATTTTGATAACAGTTTTTTGTCTAAAAGTCCATTGAAATGACGTAAATTAACTTATTTTTCCATCCTATTTTTAAATAATAAATATATAAAAAGTGCGAAAAAAATATTTTTTTTTCCTTATTTCAAAATATGAAAATAATATATTTTGATAGAAATTATCATTAAGGACGAGATGCAATAATTAATTGTATGTTAAAGATAAATATTCAACGAAAAGTTAAGAAAATAATTGTTATGATGAACAAAAATTGAGAAATTTAACTAATAATTAAAATATAGTGTAATAAAAATTGTGATGTTATCACCCTTGTAGAAACAGAAGTGGCCACTTCTACCTCCACTCAGATTCTTCAGTGGGAAGGTAAAAAATCAGAAAAGAGCCATTATGGTGCGTTTGATAGTGAATATTTTCCATGAAAAATGCGTTTTTTCACCGAATTGTCTACTTTTGTGCTGTTTGATAGACAATTTTTTTCACGAAATTTTTTTTTCTACTTTTAGTCACGTTATCATATTTTCTTTGGAAACAAGGAAAATATTTTCTTTACGGATGAGTGTTTTTATTTTTCAGGTAATTTAAACTGTCCAGGTGGGCACCATTAGGAACTCCGCCACCTTTCTCAATACGAGAATCAATGTTCACGCTCACACCACCACCTCGCCATGTTCTTCCTCCTCTGTTGTCAATTGTAAGCATGTTTTCATAGAGCCATTTGCTCGTATACTGCTTTATAGATTATCTTTTTCGTGTCATTATTTGCAATTCAGTGTGTCGACCATAGATGCGAGAAAGTGTCGATGGAGTGTGCATTAATTCATATATGTATGTAAAATACGTTGTTATATGTAGAGTTTCTTGTACAAAATTTTGTGTAAAAACGGACATGTGCTCACAAAAAAATTATGTGAATTCACTGAATTGTGTGTGAATTGCTGCTTCTTGGGGATGATGAGTAGAAGAATATCAGATGAATAAGAATAGGATTTGAAGATGCGAATTTTCTTATTTTATTTCCAAGGCCACCCTCTATTCCTTTTTTTTCAATTACGAAAAATGCATGAGAATCTAGTCTGCAGTTGTGCTGGGTTGTTTCAAGTTTAGCTAATGCTGTGGAAAGCAATGAGATGATTGGAGGGTTGAAAGATGTGGATAAATTCGATGATTCCGCAATCAGTCTGTTAAACATCTCACCTTTATGGAAGATGCTTATGATAAGTAGTTTCCGATATGCAAACACGTGCGCATGAAGAGACATGGGAATCTGGCAAAAAAAAATTAGAAGAAATAGCTCCTGAAGTATTGAGAATGAAAGAGTCAGTTTCCTGGAGTGGCAGTCATTCTTGTTGGGGATAGGAAGGATTCTGCAACTTATGTACGCAACAAGAAGAAATCATGTGAACATGAAGAGCGTTTGCCTGAACTCCTCAGAACTGGGAGTGTTAAAATATATCTCTGGACTTCAACGGTGATCATTCAGTTCACGGCGTCCTTGTTCAGTTACCTCTACCATCTGCAAGCCTCCAAATTAGAGTATTATCATCTGCTAGTGATGAATTTTTCTGCATAAGAAAAATTTACTGAGAATAATCATAATACTATTACCTAAACCATATCAATTCAGGTTGATTGATGAACAAGAGAAGACCAATGTAGTAAACAAATACATGAACTGCTCTTGGAAATAAACGATCAATCAATTTCTGGTATCATTTTCTCTGAAGTCAAAAGCAAAACCTCCAAATTCTAGAATGAATTCTGAAGCCAAAGACTATTGGGCAATCATCGTTTTTGATATTTTAGTCACATTTCAATGTCTCCATACATGGGAAGCAGGCTACTCCTCGAAAGTGCCCCACCATTTGTTCCCTCTCCATTCAACCAAGACAATCAATATTTCCTCACTTAGCCTCTATTTGATAGTCATTATTTTATCAAAATAATGTTTTGAATAGTAATTTTTAAGCAAATGTGTGATTAAAAAATAAAGAAAAATCTTGAATTTACGTACAAAATATTTTATTGTATGAATGTATAATTAGAAATCAATATATTGAAAAAAGAATTTTCAAATAATGATTGTCTAACGGAGACATTTCTATTTTATTTCAACTTCAATTTCTTAACATGGTTTATTTATTATTATTATTATAAATTTTAAGTTCATATTGATATAGCATGTTAACCTCATATTTTCAAACATTTTATCTAATTTGCAGGCAAATCCTTCAGATTTTATACAATTTATTTACGTCAAGGGCCCATGTGACAAAGTTTTTTTATTTTTATTTTTTAAATATTTTAGCAAATTTGTATAAAACTCGATGAAAATGTGTGATTGAAAAGTTAATAAAAGTTACGAATCCCATATTAAAATTGAAGTTTAATCAATTAAAGAGTTAATAAAATTTTAACAAAAATTTATCAAACAAGCACTAATTTTCATTGCTCAAGAAAATGGAGTTACCATAAATAATTGCAAAATGAATGCAGTGATAGGAAAATGCGGTTATGTATAGTGTATACTAATATTTATAAACTGTAATGAATCTAACACTTGAAAACATAGTACTTTGAGGACATGCCTTTCTGACTCCAAAGCCCTAATGAGATTGAGCAGTCACTTGGATTCTCAGCATAAATCTACAAGGACCGAGTTGAGTATGATATCAAGAAACCCTTGTGCCAGAAAGTTCAACCTGAGCCACTGCCTCACTTACAGCATCGATTATATCCATCTTTTCTCTACTCACTGCCTCGTCCATAGGAGTTCTTTCATGGCTAATTATTATCCAACATCAGAACAATTTTAGGCAGGAATAAAATTTTCAGGACATGCTTGGTAGTTGGTATGCAATACTAGATAAGGCCAGAGTATAATAAACAAGATTTAACTTTGTTTCTTTCTCTACTGTCCAATCCAACTCCAACTTATGTTTGACATCAAAGGGTGAGAAACTCTTGACTTGTGAGTCAGATATTACGCACCTGTTTAACGCCGAGACATTGGCTCCGGCGAGAATCAGATGTTTGACAGCCTAGAAAAGATGGTATGTAAAATTGACAAACGAAAACTGTGAAATAGCTGCCTAACATTGAACAATGCAATGCAAGGGAATGTGGTTATTACCTCGACGTGGCCATTGAGACAAGCCCAATGAAGAGGCGTATTGTTCTCCACATTAGAAGCATTAACATCCTGTGCCAAAGAAACAGCTGTTCATACTCTTCTTAAAACAACAATCGAGAAAGCATGCAAATTACTGAAATAGAGAAAGTTGAAAACGAAACATGCACAGGCTTGTGCCCTCACAAACTTTAAAGGTGTTAATATGATCACATTGCTTAAATAAATAATTTCTAGAACATGCAATATAATTGAAGTCTACTTTACTGATGCCTGAGACCTTAATCCACCCACCCCTCCAGTTTCATGTATCGAACTGTAAAGCAATCAACCAATATATTAGGCATAGAACATTAGAGATGATAAGCGCACAAGGATTGCAATATCAAAAGGCAGCATAAAACATTCCAAGAAAGATCTAAACTTAGTGAGCTAACTTCTTCTCATAAATCTCACAGAGCAATGCAGAAGATATTGCTGAAGTTGGCTGAACAGAAGAGAGCTAATAACAGAAGTTTTTAAATGATGTGAAGGATTCTGTTATGTGAACAAAGGACAACCCGGTAGCAATTTTCCTAAATGCAAACTTGTCTGAGCCATCTCCAACTACAATTTCTAATTTTGTGTTGAATTTGGTAATAACGTTCTCTTCAGTTCGGATTGCTTTTTCTTCATGATTTGTTTAGACAAATTGGAAGGTGAAGACAACTATATCTGCCACTGACAAGAAGTTGTTGGAGCCTTTCAAAAGTTAAGGAAACATATTTTATTATTCAAGGTTCATGTCAGGCCAATGACTAGAGCATTAACCAAGCATGGTAAACAAAGAACTCGGGTATATACAATACAAAGAGAAAAAAATTAACTAATAGTAACAAAACAACCAAAATTCATGTTAGCTCAGATGTCTTGGCTCTCTCACCGCTCCATTGAGGAGAAGATAGTTTATAATGTCAAGATGTCCATTGGCTGCGGCCATATGCAATGCTGCAAAAAATACAAATTCAAAACAAGTTAGATGAAGAAGATGGAAAAGGCATCTAAAAGTTACAGAAGGTATTTGGCGCATCATTAAACACAAAACATTTTTATTCAACCAACTAAAATTTTAAAATTAAAATTTATATATACGAGATTAATTCAGTTACTAATTTTAGCAATAGCATTTTAATACGAACATCACGCCACTGGAGGTATTCAGAGCTGATGGATGAAGTAAAACCACATTAGTGAGAAACTGAAAATGCATCTTGAGAAAGGTTGAAGTCAAGATTGATTTAAATCATTTCCATTTACAGTCTAACAAACATTTCAAAGCACAACAAGAAGTGGGAAACTGTTGCATATCAGAATTATAACCTGTGCGTCCTTGTGAATCCTTAGAATCTAGAGACACACCAGCAGATGCTATGCTTATGACATCATCAATATCATCAAATCTAGCAGCCTGTTGAATAATACATCAGATACTGTTAACAAAGACCTTCCCAGCAATGAAATACTAATCAATCAATCTGCATGCATTAAATCCAAAGAAAACCTTGGATAGGAAAGTTGTATGAACTTGCTGCATATGATAAAAAATCAGGATTTGTTGAGATGATTGAACCATTCATGTTCGAGTAAATAGCAAAATCGAGTTGAATTTATATGATTCAAGTAGGCAGAGTACTCAAGACACCCAAAACATACACAAAAGGAAAAAGGAATAAGTTTACCCATTTACATATAGATGAAGGACTTACTCCTGGCCTAGATGACTCCAGTCTAAAAATTCTTTGAAGGCATTTTCAACAAAATTACAGTACTTGATTATAAGTATCCCAACCACATGAAACTCCTGACAAGCATCAGGAATTCAAACCTGATATCCTCAGCAGAAATGTCTATAATGTAGCATTTTGGCAATATCACTCATATCCTGTACAGCAAATAAAATGGTAAAACATTGAAAATATTATTAATTGCTAATAAACCTCCAAGGCTCTATATTATTTTCACAAACATAAATTCACAACTCCAATTTTCACCAGAATGAATTACCCAATTGTATTAGAGAAGGTGGTAATAACTGAAGCGCACCCTAAATCAAAACATCATTTGCAATCAAAATACTCATCAGAGATCACCACCCAGGAAGAGGAAGAACAACCAAGGCCTTTTGCGAAGTGTATGAATACATTGATGGTAAAAAAACAAGTAAACACTCTATAAAACATGGGTGGACCTAGGGGGGGTCCTGGGGAGGGGGGGGGGGGGGGCACTTCTTTTGAGAATTTTTTTTTTTATAAAATCGTGTTTGATATCAATTAAAACCCAAATTTTAATTTAAATCAAAGTTAACAATTAATTTTAATAACATATTTCATGGAATTCATAACTGTTTAACTTTTATCAAAATTTACTAAAAATCTGATTTTAAAAATTCTCCGACGATCGTACGCTAATCGAATTTACAAATTGTTTATATCATCTCAAAACTTGCTTCGAGAACTACATTATGGGCATATCGAATAGTTCAAACAAATATCGAAAATAGCTAAAAATACGTTAAACGTATAAATTTGAATTTCGATAACATGCTAATTTTAAAAAATTATTTACGATCGTACGTTAATCGACTCTACAAATTGTTTATATCATCTCAAAACTTATTTCGAGAACTACATTATGTGTATATCAAATAGTCCAAACATATATCGAAAATAATTAAAAATACGTTAAACGTGAGTCTTAATATTTATTATTTTTGCGATACAAATTTCTCAATGTAATTTTCATTATTTTATATGGAATATAACATAAAAAATTTTCGAAATTTTACATCCGAAAAAGTCATATCTCATGTAATTTTTTGCATGTCAATTTTTGGATGTAAAATTACATGGGGTATGATTTTTTTGGACGTAAATTTTCGATTGTAAAATTTTTTTCAACTTCTTTGCAAGTTCGATTATACCTCCTAACTTTTAAGTCTGCGTCCACCCCTGCTATAAAAGGCTGTAGTTTCAGTGTAAATCCTATGTTCGATTTTCTTGATTTAGAGGCATCTGAACCAACTATGCTTCATAATTTAATTGGAAAACAACAACAACTATAGGGAAACTTGTTTGTTTTACAATAACAATAGGGAAACTTGTTTGTTTTACAATTCAATTCCCTCATTTTATACTGGAAATACTAAAGCACGAATGAAATACTGAATACTAATCTTCTCGTGATGAATGCCCAGATGAAATTCGATTCTTACTAATCTGAAAGTTAAATTGCTTTAAGAAATAAACTGTTATTTCATCTCGCCGCTTTTCTTTGGAAAAATAAACATATAACTAAACAGCTCATAAACAGATAGTCACATGTAAAGAACGTCACAAAATTATTGGAATTAAGCTGGAGAGTTAGAGGCACCTCAAGCAAGGCCTCGATGCTATCCAACATCGCGTCCGGTGGGGTCTGTTCTACTGCGCGTTCCTCCTCTCCCATTCTTGTTCGTAAGAACTTTTGCGGTTGCCGCCGTGTTTTGCGTGACGTATAGTGCGAAGGCTAGTGTGAAGCGAGGGAGAAGCCCAAATTCCTCAGCCTCCGCCTCAGTAGCAGCAGTGTAGCACCCAGTTTGGTTATGGACCAGGCCCGTGTTCTCGAATTGGCCCAATTCTACTATGGGCAATTACACAAGTGGAAATTATCCATTACACAAAAATGGATGAAATAAATATTGATTTTTTTTAAAAAAAAATTGCAAAATTCCAACTGACGTTTCAAGAAAAAATTGGCAATTATAGTTTATGTAATTTTATAGATTATAGATTTTTAAAAAAAAATTAAAAGTTTTGTAGGTTATTATTTTTATTTTTTGAAGGCTCAACCGTGGCTCGTCGAGCCACACAGTCTAGCTAGGGCTAGAGCCGACACCCCAAAATGGGGCTCGACTCGAGCCATGAGCTTGCCCAACCCAGCTCGGGCTTTTTCCGACTGACCGTCAGAATCGACGAGTCACGTTGACACTCCTAATTATAATATTGTAACTTACAATTTTACACACTCTGTTATTCCTTATTATAGTGTTTTTTTTTTTTTTAATTATAATTTACACCATAATGTACATAAAAATTTTATTTTGTTATTATTCTCAATGGCAGAGTTTAGTTGATCATGTGAAGTCGTGTTGCATTGTATTAATTATTATTGCATCATATGTATTCTTAAAACTAAACACCACAAACGTTGGATTTGCTTAATCATAAGCCACAGCTACATATTAAGGTCTCCAAATTCATTATAACAATGATATGTTAGCAAGCTAATATGTAATATTTTGCATTATACAATTTACAGTAATTGCTAATTTTTACACAATTACAAAAGTCATAAATACTCAATTACTAAACATAACATTAACTCACTTCTCAAACAAAAGCTTTCAAGTGAACTAAAACTTCCAGTTGAAACTTGAGAGTTCATACATTTGCAAAGAAATTTATTCAACAAAATCATCAAACAGTTTCCAGTTTTTTCGATGAGATATAAACGGATGGACATTCATTCTCAATGATTGAAAACACATTACTCCACGAAAGACGACACTTCCTTCTTCACAAAGAACAAGCCAGACGGGCCGTCATCAGGCAGCAAAGCCAACCTTACCGGACTTTCTGCACCTTCTTCAACTGTCAATATGCCTGTATTGTAATTAATATCCGTTTTAACAAAGCCAGGGCACACACAATTGACCTGAAAATTAGGGTGCTTCTTTGCCAGAATTCTTGTGTAAGCATTCATGGCTGCTTTTGACAGCATGTATGCCCCCAAAAAACGAGGCCAGCCTTTGTTTTCCAGGGAATCTTCCTTGAAGTCTTTCAGAAACTCGTTCAGCACCTGATCGATACTCTCTTCTGTGAGGCTTTCAGCATCATTCAGCACAGTTTTAGCCCACTCATTGGGTATATTCTGAAATTAATGTATGAAATCTCCACGAGTATCAGAGTATGTATACTGGATAAGAAACGATTGCAGTAAAGAGACTTGGTATTGCGGCTCAATTGAATTATTCTTGAGCTAAATGTATTCTATTGAAAAACGAAATTAAACGTGTAGAGAGACACCTGAAAGATATTGTACCTTTAACTTTCCCATTGAAGAGGAAACATTTACAATCCGTGGTGAATTGGATAGCTGGAGTAGGGGAAGCAAAGCTTCAATAGTTCTCTTTGCACCATAAAAGTTTGTTTGCAAACATTCCACTGCTAAGTCATATGGTTGAGTCATTATCTCACTCCAGTTAATTTGTGCCCCACCCGTCTGAACCCACAAAATAAATGAATTAATACATTGCGCAAAAAATCAACCCCCAACTAGTTCCAACTTTGTAATCATACAAGTAAAATAGCTAGCTCCTTTGTCAGTCTCTATGTAGAAGAGGAAATAGTTAAGGAGGGGTAATCTTTTCTACAACATTCCAAAGTGCGCGTAAAAGGGAAAAAAAAACACTATAATGGCATATCCGTACACATGAACTCAAGAATATTGACACGGATGCCAGCCAATCCTAAGCTAAAGCGAAGAGATAAGTGGCTACTTTTCAGAAGGGAAAAAGAGTAAGGGTCTATTCTCTTTACCATTTTCAAATCGTTTTCTGTTTTCGATTTTCCAAAACAGTGAAAACACGTTCTCTTTCCTATTTTCGAAAATGCATTTTAGAAAACAAGTTAAATTTACAAAGAGGGTGTTTTCAGTTATAATCAAGTCAAAATTTTCAAAACGCATTTTGGGTGTTTTCAAAACAATTTTTCAAAATGTCAAAAAGAACACATTTTCAACAATCTCAAAATAAACACTCAAAACCCAAAACCCAAAATGAATTCAAAACTCAAAATACAAAACTGAAATACAAATAGAACAGCCCCTAATATTTTCATTAGTTGTCCTTTCAGAACTAAGTAAACAATGAGAACATGATATAGGCATCGGTAATTATGCTTCTCAATCGCTTTGTTTTATAGCAATGTTAGTTAATTGTCATAACTCAAGCAAATTCGCCATATATATTTGATAGCGAACACAAGGTGCACAAAGGAAATCCTGCTAAGAGCACTTCACACTATAGACTTACCGCAGCAGCAGCGCCTCTCCTAGCTATTAGAGCATCACTATCGACATTGGCTCCACCAACTCCAGCATTATTCACCTAAAAGAAAAAGCCCCTGATTTTCTATAGTTCAAGATTTTAACTTCAACAAAAAGGCAAAAAATCATCAGTTGGTAATTACTAAGTAGTTACACCTACTTTTGATTCCTTGGTCTCAAATCACAAGAAAATTCAAAACAACACGTGAATTTTGCTTGCAGTCTACTATCATCCAACAAGTGAATTGCGGCTTAGCTATTGATATCTAAAAATTCAATATCTTTGATGGCTATTGATAACAAAAAAATGAATTGCAGAAAAAAATCAATTATTTCAAGAAAAAGTATCTGATTATACCAAGATATCGAGCCTTCCAAACTGGGATTTAACAAATTCAGCGAGGGAATTGACACTTGCTGGATCCATAACATTAAGTTGATGAAAGATTATTTTATCAGAAAAACCAGAATCCTTGAGTTTCTCAACAGCTTCAAGACCCTTCTTCTCATCTCGGGCAGTCAACACCACTGTAATTCCATGGGAAGCCAACTGCCTGCATATTTCAAATCCAATCCCTTTGTTTGAACCAGTAACAACAGCATACCTGCAATTAAATAAAAATATATATATATATATATATATGAATTATCAAATAAAAACTAGAATATATATAAAAAAATGTTTTCTTTTTTTAAACTTTGATGCTGAGGGAAAAACAGTAATAGATACTTGATTGTTTCAGTATTCTCGGTGGGTTCTTGGGCCATGATTGAATTCATTCTGCGGAGAAATATGTGATTTACAGGCTCTCTTTCCGTGATCTTTATGTGAGGTTTAGGAGTGTACTAGAATCTTCGTAAAAACCAAAACCCTTTTAAAACTTTGGCACTTTGCGACTTGCGGGTGTAATGTGTGTTTTTCTGATTATACACTTTGCTCCTCATACATTTGGCATTTTTCTTGTACTTTTCCTGCTGCTGGCTAAATCTGTGCCATACTTTTAGCCCCAGTTTGCTGGCCATTTGTTTTTAGAAAAGGGTAAATATATTGCCACCACAAAAAGTGTTCGTGGCACCACATTTTTAAACAGTTTTTTGATTTATAAAACTGAACATTAATAAAATGACGTAAATAACCTCTTACTTATTTCTTTCTATTTATTTTAAATTAAATCCATTTTCTTTGATTCCTATACACACCACAATTCTCCTGGCATAGTTATTCCAATTCCATCCGTCTTTTGTTGTTTCCTTCTTCTACAGGTAGAAAATGAATACAAATTGTAGAGCATAATTCATATTAATTTCTCCATAAACATTCTTTTTGGTTGCTCCATATATTGCAAGTAACTACATAATTTATATTTTTTTAATTTATATATATTTTTAATAAAATTCATTGTTTATACTGCTTATAATTACTTGGCACTTGTAAGACTAACGATTACCTGGCAAATCCCAAAAAAATAAAAATAAATAAAATAAAATAATATAGACGCGTTCAAATTTTCAGACAATCCAAAATTATTTGGCAGCTCCTTTTCAACATTAACAAAGTAAATTACAAACTCAAGCCTCTCAGACAATGAACGTGCTGGATTCGGTCTGTTCAATTGCATATTCTGTTGCTACATAAGATTTAATATTGCATTGAAGAACTAAAGCCACTACACAGCACTCATCCTCCTGGCTGCGCAACCTAGCCAATCTGTTGGTGACAACATCCTCCAACTATGCTGCACACTCGGCAATTTCCTTCATTTTCTTTGTAGAGACATTGTGTGCTATCTCCGCGCAGTAAGTACTGCCATTAAACAAATTAAACAGTCAGCGATAATTTAAAAAAGCCACAGTATCTTCGAACAGGATAGAAAAATGAACAGCGGGCTGTTGTGCATCATTAAGACCTCTGTTTCTGAGACATTGTGAACAACAAATTTCTTAAATCAATGTTTGGGAAGTAGTGGTAATAACACTTGGCCGCTGCAATACCTGTAGGTAATACAATGAATTTGAGAATCTCTGATGTGCATATAGAAATTTTAATCTTATGAACAATAATAGAGAAAATTGGAGTCTGATCTTTAGTTTTTAAGAGCAGTTCAAAATACAACTGAAGAGAAAATGTCACTTACTGGGATTCTGCAATGGATATTGAGGTCGTAGTTCAATTGGCTGAGGCTTTCTTTTGCTCGATTTTCTGTTTCCAGAGCTTTATTGCATACTTGTTTAACCTGAGCCTGCACCGAAACAAAATCAAACTGATTTATTGAACTCTTTAAACAATGAGAGATGGTGCCTGGGGGTAAAATGAACAAACATAAAATGAATACAAAGCAACGACATACAGAAATATTTTTCCTTTCCAATAGATCATTGTTTTCCATTGATGGTCATGAAAATTTTGGAACTTTAGTGTCCACGAGGATGTCTCAAATGCTAAGTAAATAAATGTGGTAATTTAGATAATAATGAAAGTATAAGGAAACAGAACTCGATAACAACAAGAAGCAGATGGTGTTTCAAGTAGGAAACTGTGAAGAGTAATAGAAGAAAACTATAGTCAGAGTTAATATAAATTCTTGCAGCAATAATTGGCAAATCCTACATAAATTTCAAATGAAATAAAAAAACCTAGGAGCACAAGCAATAAACATTGAAGAAACTCTTCCAAATTATTTGCATCACATGCCTAACTTGACAGTGTGAATCCCATTGAAAGCAAATCTTAATCAAGTAGAAATTAAGTGGCTCAATCTGACAGAAACACGACTGGAACTAAAACTTCCTCATATTTCGAAGCCAAAACCATAGCTACCAAACCAACAAGCTGCAACTTCTTTCTCTATAGTTTGCTTTGCTAAAAATCTGTCTATTAGATTTACAGTTAGAAACAATGTCTCGTCCCTAAGGTCGTAAGTGTGGTATACCAGCGGCAAAAAAGAAAAATCAATCATTAGGTTCACAGTGTTGATTTTAGTCTGCAAAACACAGCAGATTATAAAGATAATTGTGTATTCGATAAGACCTCAAGAAGCCAGTCAATTAGAATAGCTTATCCTCTCATTTATGTCAAATTGTTATGCCATTTAGCCCGACGAAACGCGGCTACAATTCTGCAGAATGAAAAACTTTTTTCGTCATTAAAACGAGGATGAAATTTCGAAATTATACAGTCCAATTAAACATCAAATTTCGAAAATGGATAAAATTCCTATTTTGTTAATATTTATTTCAGTATAACCTAACTTAAAACTGAGAACTAATACATTTTTGTTGAATCTAAATGCATATGAGTTCTTACCTCCATTTTCTTGTAGCGATTACCAAATTCCAAACAATAGCAGCAGGAGGACATGAAGGAGCGGCAATCGACCATTCTATACGCCTCGATTCAAAGCTTTCTCCTTCGCCGGAAGTAGTCCCCATGGTTACCGTCCAGGGAGTATCTCTGATCGCGATTACTGTTGAGAAAGGGTTGCGAAGAGAAGGCGATTAATAATGGAGGATGTGTACACCACATTTTTTTTTTCATTTTTCATTTTTATTGTATTAGGGGTATAGTAGTAAATTGGTTGTAGTGTATTTATTAAAATGATATTTTAAATGTGGTGAAATTATAATGTGGTGTAGTAAGTAAATTTTGTTGTGGCAATATAATTACCCTTTAGAAAAAACATTGTTTTAAGGAAGATGCTACATGTACTACATGGAGTACTACATGGGTTACTACATGGTCAAGTGGCGGCACTCTATTGGAGGTTCGGATGTGGGGCAAGTGTGGGGCCTCGGCCCCACATCCGAACCTCCAATAGGGTGCCGCCACTTAGTCATGTAGTAATCTATGTAGTAAAAATTGTAGTACATATAGTTTAATCCTTGTTTTAAATAGTAATTTTTAAAGAATATGTGATTAAAAAGTAAGAAAAAAATTTGAATTTACGTGTAGAATATTTTATTGTGTGAATGTGTGATTGAAAATGAACATATAAAAAAAGTATTGCAGCTCTAGCTCCAGCTCCAACTCCCAGCTTCTAGCAGCTTCCAACAACCAACTGCCAAACAACAAACTCCAGTTCAGCTTAGCTTCCAGATGGTTCCACAGCTCACACACAATAACAATGTTAACAGACTTTGTATAGATTGTATAGATACAAGTTTGTTAGATAGTTAGCTTCCTTGTATTTATATAAACAAGTTTTACCCTTTCATTTCAATTAATACAGGAGATTAATTTTTCTCTTCAATTTCGATTCTCCTATCATCATCAATATGGTATCAGAGCAGATTTCATCCTGCGAATTCCTTGATTGATCCTTGATTCAATTATCAATCAAGTATATGGCAGAAATTCCAACGCAACAAACTCATAATCAAACATTAGCAATGAGCAGTTCTGCAATTGTTAATGGATCTAATCCATATTTCTTACATCCTTCAGATAGCCCCGGCTTAATACTTGTTTCACAGACTTTGACAGGGGATAATTATGCATCATGGAGTCGTGCTATGGCTATTGCTTTATCTGTGAAGAACAAGTTAGGCTTTGTTGATTAATCAATTACCTGACCAGAAATTTCTGAGGAAATACTCAGCTCATGGATCCGAAATAATAACATGGTGATTTCCTAGATCCTCAATTCGGTGTCAAATATCAGCCAATGTAATGTACTCAGAGTTTTACATGATATCTGGATGGACCTCAAGGAAAGATATCAGCAAAGGAACGGTCCGCGCATCTTTCAGTTAAGACGGGAGCTGATGAACTTGATGCAGGGACAATCATCAGTTAGCACATACTTTACTAAACTAAAAACCATTTGGGAGGAACTTAGTAACTACAAACTTTCATATTCCTGTGTTAGATGCACGTGTGGGGGAAATAATATGATTGCTGAACATTATCAAATGGAGTATGTGATGTCCTTTTTTATGGGATTACATGAATCTTTTGCTCAGATAAGGGGCCAGCTCTTGTTGATGGATCTAATTCCTCCAATTAACAAAGTTTTTGCATTAGTAACACAGGAGGAAAATCAAAGGAAGGTTAATGTAAGTGTTGATCCTTCTGGCATCAGTGAATCTATGGCATTTTATGCTAAGAATGAAATTAAGAGACCAAATTCTGGACAATCATTCAATAGATTTCAGAAAAATGAGCGGCCAGTTTACACATATTGTGGATACACAGGTCACGTTGTGGACAAATGTTACAAGTTACATGGATTTCCACTTGGTTATAAATCAAAGCAGAAGAATGGGGGATCTAGTAATCAAACCAACCAAACAATCAGGTGAATTGTGCAGCCACAGGGTTGATATCTGGTCAAATACAAAGATCAGATCAGGCACAAAGTGGGGTTGGAAATTTTGTACAAACATTGAATTCGACTCAATATCAACAATTGATGAATATGCTGAATAATCACCTTAATGTTACAAAGACAGATATGCAACATGAAAGCACCAATGATCAAATGACGAGTACTTGTTTCTCTATCTCTGTGAGTCCATTTTTCAATTCACCTACAGCTTGGGTAATTGACTCAGGTGCCACGAGTCACATTTGTTCGGATCTAAAAGCTTTTAACACTTTGAAACGTGTTCAGAATGCATATGTTACTCTGCCTGACCATGAACGAGTCCATGTGCAATATATTAGGAATGTGAAGTTATCTTCAGATTTGATACTTGAGGATGTCTTATTTGTACCTCAATTTAAGTTTAAACTTTTGTTAGTAAGTTCTTTAACCAAGAGATCTTCATTAAGTGTCAGATTTCTCACTGATACATGTCTCATTCAGGTGGTACCAACATTGAGGACTATTGGCAAGGGTAAAAGGGCTGAAGATCTTTACATCATTGATGCTAACAGTCTTATTTCTGTTAGGAATAGTACTGATGTTTCTAAAAAATCTTGTAATCAATTTCATTCCTTAATAAACAATGTGACTGATCACACTTGGCACGAAAGGCTTGGACACTTATCATTTAAAAGACTACATGTATTGAAAGACTTATTGAAGTTTAATACTAATAGAAATAATTTGTCTACTCCATGCTCTATCTGTCATTTGGCCTAGCAAAGAAGGCTGTCATTTATTTCCAATAATCACATGTCTTCTACAGCTTTTGATCTTATTCATTGTGATGTTTGGGGTCCTTACAATGCATCTATGCATGCTGGTCATAAGTATTTTCTAACATTAGTGGATGACTGCACAAGGTTTACCTGGGTATATTTGATGAGGCAAAAATCTGATGTTGAATTCCTCATTCCAAAATTCTTTACCCTTATAGAGACCCAGTTCCATAAAGTTATCAAGACTTTTCGATCCGATAATGCTCCAGAATTAAAGTTCACAGAATTCTTCAGTAGCAAGGGGGTAATTCATCAGTTCTCTTGCGTGGAAAGACCAGAGCAGAACTCTGTGGTTGAAAGGAAGCATCAGCATTTACTCAATGTTGCTCGTGCACTATACTTCCAGTCTAGAGTTCCCATCCATTTCTAGGGAGAATGTGTCATCACAGCCACATACTTAATCAATAGAACTCCATCCCCAGTTTTAAAGAATAAGACTCCATTCATTTGTCCTTAGAACTTTTGGCTGCCTCTGTTATGCCTCAACATTACCTTCTCATAGAACAAAGTTCCATCCTAGAGACAATGCCTCTATCTTCCTTCGTTATCCTCCAACTATTAAGGGATATAAACTTCTTGATATTGACTCTAACACCTTCTTCATCTCAAGAGATGTTCTGTTTCATGAACAAATATTCCCTTTCCAATCCATTTCCTACGCTACTGATATACTTCATTCATTTCCTGCCCTTGTTTGATCATCCTTCCACATTTTCCTCAATTGCTGTCAGTCATGATAATGCACATCTTGATACAACCATTGCTTCAGTTCCTAATTCAAAAACTCTTCCAGTTCCTAATCCACAAATTCTTCTGTCTCAAGAATCACAGTCTCAGTCTATTCCACCTGTGACTAATAGAGGGCATTGAATTTCACAAGGCTCCTTCCTACCTGAAGGACTTTCATTGCAATCTTTTGACCACGGGTTCACCTCCTCCACAACATACCTTATATCCACTGTACAAATCATTATCCTATAAATCCTTTTCTCCCTCACATACAGCCCTTCTTCTAAATGTCTCTTCAACTTATGAGCCCCAGTTTTATCATCAGGCTGTAAAGTATGATCATTGGAGAAAGGCTATGAGTGCTAAGTTATCTGCTATGGAAGCTAACAATACTTGGTCTATCACTGCTTTGCCAAAGGATAAGCTCACCATAGGTTGCAAATGGATTTACAAAATCAAATTTAAGTCAGATGGTAGCATAGAGAGGTATAAAGCCAGGTTGGTCGCTAAGGGCTATACTCAGCAGAAAGGGTCAGATTATGTGGAAACTTTCTCTCCAGTTGCAAAATTAGTCACAGTTAAAACTCTTCTTGCAGTGGATGCTGTCAAACGTTGGCATCTTGTGCAATTAGATATTAACGATGCCTTCCTTCATGGAGACCATTTTGAGGAAATTTATATAGACTTACCTACGGGATATCACCAATATCATTCTGGATTTCAGGGAGAGAAAAAGGTGTGTAAACTTCATAAGTCAATTTATGGTCTTAAGCAGGCATCGAGGCAATGGTTCTCCAAGTTTTCTCAGGTTCTTCTACATCATGGATTTCAGCAATCAAAATCAGATTACTCCCTATTCGTAATGGGGACTGGTGACTCCTTCATTGCACTTCTTGTTTATGTTGATGACATTATCTTAGTCGGATCAGATGTTAAGGTGATTGATGCCTTAAAAACACTCTTGCATAAGCAGTTTAAATTGAAGGATCTTGGAACATTAAAGTACTTTCTTAGATTAGAAATTGCAAGATCACAAAGAGGCATTTATTTATCTCAAAGGCATTATATTTTACAAATACTTGAGGACACTGGATTCTTGGCTTCTAAGCCAGCTCAATTACCAATGGATCCTAAACTTCGCCTATCTTCATCTGAGGGACAACTTCTTGATGATCCTTCCCTATATCGAATACTGGTTGGCCAACTGTTGTATTTAACCATCTCCAAGCCAGACATCACCTTTGCGGTTCATAAACTCGGTCAGTTTGTTTCACAGCGTCGCATACCTCATTTAGATGATGTCTATCATCTCCTCAGATACCTCAAAATGGCTCCTGGTCAAGGTCTGTTATTTGATGTTTCTTTCCTCTTCAGATTCGAGCTTTTTCTGATGCTGATTGGGGTTCTTGTCTTGATTCAAGAAGATCCATCATTGGTTTCTGTATTTTCCTTAGCAACTCATTGGTTTCTTGGAAATCTAAGAAGCAGGTCATCGTTTCCAGATCATCTGCAAAAGCCGAATATCGTGCTTTATCTTCCACTACTTGTGAAATTGTTTGGCTTCATCAGTTACTTCTTGACTTGCAAATCTACATTGTAGCTCCAGCCACGATTTTTTGTAATAATCAGGCTGCTATCCACATTGCCACTAATCCTATATTTCATGAGCGAACAAAGTACATCGAAATTGATGGCTATTTTGTTCGAGATAGGGTCAATGATGGTTTCATCAGACTTTTCCCAGTTCGTTCTCAACATCAACTGGCTGACGTTCTCACCAAGCCTCTACCATCCTCTCTCCTTTTTCCACTCATGTCCAGATGGCTGTCTTGAACTTGCACAGTCCATTTTGAGGGGGAGTATTGCAGCTCCAGCCATCAGCTTCAGCTCCCAACTTCCGACAACCAACTGCCAAACAACAAACAACAGCTCAGCTTAGCTTCCAGATGGTTCCGCAGCTCACGCACAATAACAATGTTAACAGACTTTGTATAGATTGTATAGATACAAGTTTGTTAGATAGTTAGCTTCCTTGTATTTATATAAACAAGTTGTACCCTTTCATTTCAATTCATACAAGAGATTAATTTTTCTCTTCAATTTCGATTCTCCTATCATCTTCAATAAAAAGAGTTTCGAAAGAATGAAAGACAAATAAGTTGGTTCCTTTGTCCGAATTTTAGCGTGCAAATTCAGAGTATTTTTAGATATTACATTGTCAAGAGTTTTTTTTTTTTAAACTTATTTATTTATCTTTGGACAAAACTTAATTGAGAAAAATTAAAAGTACTAAGAAGAAACATATTTATTAAACTTGATACAAGAACATCATTTTTGTTAACGGTTGAAAAATATGGGTCATGGGTCATCCATGTAGAATGATCAACCCACAGATTATTAAAGTGAATTGGAGGTAGTAGTTTGAATAGAATATGAATCCATAATAGTTATGTAATTATTCCATGTGTTGAGGATCTCTAAAGGAAGAGCCAAAGATAGTCGATATCACTCGTGTGAGTACTTCTGGGATAATGCTCGACTCAAAGGTTGTACGCGAGAGGCCAGTGCCGGAGTCTTATACCATTTTGAACTATCTCGTTTAAAGGCCCTAGCACTCAGTTTTCAGATTATAGTAGAATGTCGGTATAATTCATCTGTTTTTTGGATACGCAAGGATTCTGGCGAAGAAGTACCTAAATTTTCTGCCTGGCTATGTCAAAACAGATATGACTCGCAATACCGGCACGTTGACCGTTGAAGAAGGTGCAGAAGGTCCGGTAATGGTGACGCTGCTACCTGATAATGGCCCTTCTGGCTTGTTCGAGAGTAAGTGGCATCTTTCTAGGGATAATGACATTTGCGATCGTACTATTTGACGTTTTGATGTATAAATTTGATGGTTTTCTTGAATGAAATGGAGAACTTTTTTAACTATCAGCTCTAACACTAACAAACAATGGAAGTACCATTGATTCTCTCCCCCACAAATTCTGTCGGCCCCAATATGAATTCAAGATAAGATTTAAATGAGTAAGTGTGGTATCTCTTTAACAATTTAAACTTTTAAATGAGATGGTTAATATTTGGAACTGCTATACAGCCGTCTTAATTGTTGAAGAAGGAGCCGAAGTCCTGAGTGATTGTCGCTATTGCCTGAAGGCGATGGAGGTGGCAATAACAAGTGAATTTCTGGCTGAAGCCTCAGAAAAAATATGAGGGCAATAACAAATTTGGCAAATCCTAATAAGTTAACCTTTTGCAATTAAACCATATTTTCCAACAATTTTAACAGTTGAAGTAACCGTCATTAGAAATTTAAAATGGGGAGTAAAAAATAAAAGGTGAATGACGTGCGATTCTAACAAGAGGAACTGCACTAAAGCTGCATCGACAAGTGCCCATCTCATATATTCCAAAGTCTGGACCATCACCCCTCTCTGCATCCCACAGGATTTCCATGCACAAAACGTCAAATTTTTCACAAGTATTGTACCATGATTTCTTGCACATGGATACACGTGGTGTGGATGCTTTTATATTCAAATATCTAAGCTCTTCTAGCACGCACAAGAAAGACCAATCACATAATTCTCAGCAGAATTATCCATGGCCCAAGAACCCAGCAAGAATACTGAAACAGTCAAGTATTTGTTACTATTTCCTACAACATCAAAGTTAAAAAAAAAAAAGAAGAAGAAGATCTAATTTTATTTGATAATTTGCTCTTGTTTTTTCATTTAATGGCAGGTATGCTGTTGTAACTGGTGCAAACAAAGGGATTGGATTTGAAATATGCAAGCAATTGGCTTCCCATGGGATTATGGTGGTATTGACTGCAAGAGATGAAAAGAGGGGTCTTGAAGCTGTTGAGAAACTTAAAGAATTTGGTTTTTCTGATAATATAATCTTTCATCAGCTTAATGTTATGGATCCAGCAAGTATCAATTCTCTAGCTCAATTCATCGAATCCCAGTTTCGAAGGCTCGATATCTTGGTAATGTAGGAAACTTTTCTTGAAATTTAAAATGATCATCCTCGAATCTACAATTTGCTATTACTTCGACTTAGTCATCTTAAAGGAGAGTGATATTTTCGTAGTAGATAGTCTAGATCACTTGTGCTATTACTTCTAGGAGATTGCTGGACTCAAAAGGTTGTGTGCAGGCCAGATGCCATAGCATTTTATACTACTTTGAATTGCCTCGTCTAAACGCCAGGGAGGAGTCCTCAATGAAATCTTGAAATGTGCTTGCAGGTGAATAATGCAGGGATTGAGGGAGCCATTATGGATGGCGATGCTCTAAGAGCTTTGGGAGCTGCTGCTCTGGTAAGTCTAGTATACAAGGCCTCTTGAAATGTATATTTGCTTGAGTCGTGACATTTAATCAAGATTACTACAAAATGAAGCTTTTGAGAATCGTAATTATCAAATAATACCATAAATTAGCAGAGACATATTATGCTTACAGAAGTTTAATGCATATGTCCTGAGGTCAGTGTTTACTTGTTCCTAGAACGACGACTAATGCACAGGTTACAATTTTTTCTCTTCCCGGAATCTTCCTTGTGGTCATTGTTTACTTATTTTGTTAGTGCAGCAAGGAGAGGCACAAGTTAAATGGAATGACATGACTCAGACGTATGACTTAGCGGTAAAATGTTTGGAAACAAACTACTATGGTGCAAAAAGAACTAATGAGGCATTGCTTCCCCTACTCCAGCAATCTAAGTCACCGAGGATTGTAAATGTTTCATCTTCATTGGGAAAGTTAAAGGTACAACAATTGACACTTCTCTCTACTTAGAACTCTGCTATGTCTCCCTCCCTCTTTTACTTTGATTTTATAGCAATAAAATATGGTAGGAGGATTCCTAACCTCCGCATTGAGTCGAGCTGGAGGCCTAAAAACTCACTTACGCTTTAATGGTGTTTATGCTGAAAAAAAGGATGAGAATTTTAGGAGGGCGTGTTTTTTCTTTGTGAATTAGTTGAATGTTCATAAGAGATTACACGTGTTTAGAACCTTTACAAGAAAGGAAAACAAAAATTGCCTATTTTATAATAATTTACTATGGACAAATATTTTATTGAGCTGTGATATCTAATATCCTGACATCAAATTTCAGTTTTTTAATGAAATACATTGAACTCAAGACTAGTTCGATCCAGACACAAAATCAAGTTCCCTTGCTAAAGAAGTTGTCTTCTCTAGAAAACTATCGAGTCTTTGAAAATATAACGAGCGTTATACTCAGCTGTTATAGTTTACGAATATTTAACGACATATTGTTATTTAGCAATACTCACAGACCATTGACGTCTAATTTTCCTCCAAAAATTTCAGAGTATTCCCAGTGAGTGGGCTAAAAGTGTACTGAATGATGCTGAAAACCTTGCAGAAGAGAGTATTGATCACGTGTTGAATGAGTTTCTGAAGGACTTCAAGGAAGGTTCCCTTGAAGCCAAAGGCTGGCCTCTTTTTTCGTCTTCATACATAGTGTCAAAAGCAGTCATGAATGCATACACAAGGATTCTGGCAAAGAAGTATCCACATTTTCGGATCAACTGCGTGTCCCCTGGTTTTGTCAAAACAGACATGACTTACAATACCGGCATATTGACAGCTGAAGAAGGTGCAGAAGGTCCTGTAATGGTGGCGCTGCTGCCTGATGATGGGCCTTCTGGCTTGTTCTTTGAGAGGAAGGAAGTGTCGTCTTTCTAGGAATAATGACTTCTGTGATCATACTATTTGATGTTTCAAGGGATAAATTTCATTGGAATGCCTGACTCTGAAGCTTCAGTAGAATAAGTTTTAGACTCGAAAAGTAAAAAAGAAGAAAAAATGAGAATAAGTCTTGAATCAAATGGGAAACTTTCTCGAGCTAGCAGGTCTAACACTTGTAAACACTGAAACTATCAATCAGCCCCTGAATAGATCACTGGATAGTTGACGTGACGAGTTCTTATTTTATTCTTGGCACACCACACAAGAATAACCACGTTTTTAACTAAAAAACTGCAATTTCGTAGTGCGATTATTTTCTGAAAAATTGTATACAAATATAGGTCATATGAAGATATCAAGTTTTCCGAATTCAGTCTTGATGAAATCAGCAAGACGAGCAATACTGGAGGCGTCAATGACATCAAGCTGATGGAAAATAAGATTATCACAGAAAGAAATACAGGTAGAAGACCCTTTTAAGTTTCTCTACAGCTTCAACACCCTTCTTCACATCTCTGGCAGTTAAAACCACTGTAACACACTTTAAAACTAGCTGTCTGCATATTTCAGTTCCTATTCCTCTGTTTGCTCCTCACTACTGCAATCCTGAAACCACATCCAGTTATGTAGAGGGAATAAATAACAGTTTATATGGCAATAAACAAAGTGATTATTGATTAATAATGTGCTTTAATCCTGCCTGAGAGTACCTTTTTGTTGCCGATGATTCTGCCATGAGAGAGAGAGGATGAAGTTGAGAGAATCCTAAGGGTATTTAGTCAATTGAATGATTTATTTTTTATTTTTTTGTATTGTTTGTTTCATACTATAATTTGCCAATAACCTTTACTCTCTTCAAGATTTAGACGAGACAATTCAAAAAATCGAAGATGAGGTTAGCTACTATCCATCTACGAGAATTATAGCCTTCGATATATATCTCAACTGTTAGCTACTATCCATCTACGAGACCCTAAGCACGAAATGGTTAATATCATGTATTTCAAAAGTGAGACGAGAATTATTGAAAATAATCACTTATATACAGTATAGGGGTTAGGGCTGAACAAAACTTCTGAACCGAGCGATTCTTCTTAAGTTAAATACCCGGATGGATAGTTTGGTTATCGGTTCTAAACCCAGAACCGAATCTCTCTAATTTTTTTTTTAATAAGTTAAATTATTTTATTTTTTTCTAAATGAATTTGTTAACTAATTAATTTAGCTCGAACGTAAAATATGATTTTACCATTTCTAATTTTCAGCCATCTCAACTTAATCAAATTGACCCAAATTTTACTTATTCTACTGTAGTGTCGTTTTCCTCATTCTATTTATGTGAACTGACTATCTTCCTCTTATTGTGATTTTAATAGTCAAATTTATGAAGAACTCAACAAAGAGATGAGCAAAAATTATCAACAGATTGGACTATATTATTTTGTAGGAGTTAATGTTGAATATGTCATAGTTGAACTAATATAGCGTTGTAAATATAAAAAAAATTAATTACTGTACGAAACTCGGGGAACCAAACGGTTCCATAATTAAATTTGGACCACACGGTTCCACTTACTAAATATCCAAAAAAAATTGGTTCGGTTCGGTTCGGTCTCTTCAGAATCGAACCGCACTAGAACCGCACTAGACCAGACCATGTACAACCCTAATAGGGGTATTCAATTTTGTTGGCTAACCTACATTTGTCGTAATGTGTTCAAAGCATTCAAAATATACATGTTAAAACTAAAAGATTGACCAGAGAGTCTGCTTAAAAATTAAAATTTATTGAAGCCTTTGAAGTTGGTGCGTGCAGTTTCAGCTGCCACTGATTCTCCACATAACCTAATCAATACATATAATTTAACCCCGTATTTTGAATCCAATTGCTGCCAAAAGTGCACATGAAAATGAAAGAATACGACAGAAATAATCTCACACTGATTAATCAGTGAGAATATGATCTTGGAATTAGACAGAAAAAGCATTCAAAAATGGAAACTGGCTCATTGTCTTACAGCCCTGCTCTAACTTCTGCCGTTTTAATGTCTGTAAAAATTAGTATTTAGGCATACGATGGTGTAGAGAAATTTTGAATAATCTGCAGAATAAATAGCCTCCGGTAATTGCGAGAAAAGCTTCACTTTTCGTGAACAAGAGGGCTGTAAACTGGGTACCACATGTTGTCTTTCACATATTGCAAAATTCCCTCCTGCATTCAGCATAATTAAACAACAGTTCAGATAACAATACAATCTATTATATGTTATACTTAGTTGCATTGAGTATTCCCGAAATTCATAAGGTTTGGAATGCCGTAAAAGGTTGATCTGTTCTTTCTTGGTTACTAGATATACTTTTTTTCCCTTTATCAAGGCCAAGATTCGGTTAAACAGACCTTCGACATGTGTGACAGTTCTCTGGATCCCACATCGCCACGCCCTTCAGCCACTTCTTCTACAACAGCTGTCCTCAAAACGGCAGCTCCAACTTCAGCTGTAATATCCCGAATACTGACCATAGGCAAACCATATATTCAGTATAATTCATAAAGCAAAACGGTCATCCAAGTGGAGATATATTGAAAATTCCTGATCAATTTTTATGAATCAAAAGATAACGAACTATTTTCCTCTTTCCTTAGAAAATAAGAACACAGACATATCTACTTCAGAAATGGACACTTCAATGATGCATCATCAGTCATAGAAGCTGAGTCTTACCTATCAATAGATGGATACAAGACACCTCTTTGAATTTCATCATCTGTCATATAAGATGCAAGACTGCACAAACAAAACCACATTAGTAAGATATCTTAGCCAAAAGTAGGCTATTTTTACACCATTATGGCATGTCTGGTGGACTGGACTAGACTAGACTAGACATATGAGATAGTGTGATAGTCTCTCTCTTTAAATAGGCCATATATGGTGGTGATTTCTTTTCTTTTGAATCTAACAATGGTATGATAGTCTGCTTGATGAATACAAGTTAGGGACCATGTTACCGCATCTTTAAAAGGTTGAGGACCCTAGTTCACATTTGATTGGTTGGGGAGTCATAGGTCGCAATTTACCCAAAAATGACTTGAGCATGGAACTGGAAGACGAGGAAAAAATGTCTATTTCTTTGATCTAGTAATTTGAACATACTCAAATCACCTATTCAATTATAAAGTTTCTCCCATTCTCTTAAATTCTAAATTCCATTACACGTGGGTCATGTAAACTATAAGGTCAAACTTCTACAGTTTTCATGTAACTTGCATTCTCCAAATCTTCAAATGTTTTATTTTCCTCATTATATTCATCAATTTTTAGTGGTCGTGGAGAAAATTAATCGGTTCAGTTTTTACCCCACAAACAAAATTGTACCAAACAAGCTGTAAAATCAGTATAACCAGGCAGCATGAAGCAGCTTGCCAAAGGTAACCAAATTTTCCACAAGTTGGAAGTTCCACAAAATTCCAATATATATTGACCTGCTTCAAGGAATAAAATCTCATCTACCCTGTCCCATTGTTTTTTTTTTTTTTTTAAGAATGGAGAAATCACAGCCATATAGTTGGCCTATGACTGAACAAATCTTGTAAGTATAAGGGAAAGGAATAAGAAGTCCTATAGATCTTTTGAATAATAAGAAGCATGGAACATCATAACAAAGGTTGGAGGCATAGAATTGTTATAGCATACCACTCAGCAGCTGCTTGTAACATGCCATCAGTGATAATATGAGCACCAGAGAGAAGAGCTCCTAACCCAATCCTAAATGAGCAAAAGCGTAATTTAGAGAAGTAGAAGTAAGAAAATTAGAATATATCTGAAATAATATGTAGGAATTATTACAGACCCGGGAAAGAGGTACATGTTATTTGCTTGATTCACGTGGCCTATTTTTCCATTCCCTGTTCAGAAATGTTAATGCAATTGGTACTCATCATAAACATAAATAAGCATGGAAATGCAGTGGTGGTTACAATTAACAAGAAGCAGCCCACTTCTTTTCCCTCCACCCCAAAAAATGGGAAAGGAAATGAAGTTGATATTTCACAGTGGAAGAGAGGGCTTAATTGATTAACAACAATTATACAATGCCAATAAAGTAGCAATCTATAGAACAAAAATAGTACCAAGATTAACATCTGCAAAGGGGCTCCCACTTGCGAATACTATATCTTCACCAGCATGGTTGAAAGCCTCAACAGCAGTGCATTCGGCTGTATAATAAAGCATTTACAGAAAAAGTTCAAATGTTCAACAGAAGTATCATAAATGCCTTCAATGAAATATATTCATGATTAAGAGAGCTTCTAGACAAACCATTTGCTGTGGGATTTGACATTGCAAAAATAGCAGGTTTAGTGGAGTCCGACTCTCGCATAGCCTTAAGGACCTGATTAAAATCCCAAGAAATAAGCAAAGAAAAAACCCTTGCCCTTTCTTAAATTTGAAAACTTTCAGTAATACATATAATACAGTGAATCAAACTTTATGCAATGTCAACCTCCTCATTAAAGACACCACCAACTCCAGACAAGCCAAGAAGCACATGAGGCTTAACCTTCTTGACCTGCATAAAGTTAATTTTCTGCAGTTATTGTCTAACACATGGAATCTCTAACTCGTAATGATGATAAAGTCATCCTTACACCGTATGGCTTAGTAATCTTTACATTCAAGCTAACAAGGTTTGCCAATGCATTAGTTCCTTTCCAAAGTATATCATACCCTCCACAGCTCTATCTGATGTTGCATAAAAAAGAAAACTTACCACTTCATTAAGACTGGCTCCCTCATGAAGTCCTAGTCCTTCAATTTCTCCTTGGGTTTTGGCAAAAGGTGCAGCTGCAGGATCAATATCTTTTCTCTCTTTCGTGATAAGACCCTGCAATTGTACATGCTCAAAATACATTGGAACCAAATTCGAATGAAAAACCTATGAGGACAATAAATGCAGAATGTAGCAAATAGACTTCATATTTGTACAGTGCAACTGTACAAA